AAAGATCTAGGAGTTGATATCACACCAAACCTGTCTCCTGAAGCCCACATAAAGAGAATAATGTCTGCGGCATATGCGAGGCTGGCTAACATCAGAACGGCGTTCAGGAACCTGTGTAAGGAATCATTCAGAATCTTGTACACCACATATGTAAGACCAATCCTGGAGTATGCGGCCCCAGCATGGAGCCCGTACCTTGTCAAGCACAAGACGAAGCTGGAAAAAGTCCAAAGGTATGCTACTAGACTAGTCCCAGAACTAAGAGGCATGAGTTATGAGGAAAGGCTGCGGGAAATGCACCTTACGACACTGGAAGACAGAAGAGTAAGGGGGGACATGATCACAACCTACAAAATCCTCAGGGGAATCGACCGGGTAAACAAGGATGAACTATTCAACACTGGTGGGACGCGAACAAGGGGACACAGGTGGAAGCTGAGTACCCAAATGAGCCACAGAGACGTTAGAAAGAACTTTTTCAGTGTCAGAGTAGTTAGTAAATGGAATGCATTAGGAAGTGATGTGGTGGAGACTGACTCCATACACAGTTTCAAATGTAGATATGATAGAGCCCAATAGGCTCAGGAATCTGTACACCAGTTGATTGACGGTTGAGAGGCGGGACCAAAGAGCCAGAGCTCAACCCCCGCAAGCACAATTAGGTGAGTACAATTAGGTGAGTACAGTCTAGTGGACGTTTTGTGCTGCCCATAGATGTAGGTTTCAGATCTGAACAAATCATAGCTTTTTATACTAGTACTTTCAGGTCGTTGGGAGTCAGTAAGTTCTTTCCTATCAGATCTGAATGTTTGGACCAATACAGTTTTGACAGCAGAGATGGGGGATACCTAGATCTAATTCAACTATATATATATATATATATATATATATATATATTATATATATATATATATATATATATATATATATATATATATATATAATTCAACTATATATATATATATATAATTCAACTATCTATAGGTACCTCATAAAACTGATAAATAAATTCGAGGGGCAACACAACTAATATTTCATATTTTATTTCATGAAAATTGCACTTGGGTTGGGGGGAGGGGTGGTTGGAGCTGCTGATATTTCCTAACCTGTGGTATTGTAGTAGACCCCGACAGGCCTGTGACACTCCCCTACCCCACATGCGTCATGTGTGAAAGTTGAGTGAGGTTAGCTCAAGCGTCTGACCTCCATTCTCGAACAGACAGACAGCAGAAGAGACAAGCATTTCTCTTATAGATATATATATAAGTAATATTATCAATGTTATCATTAGCTTTATGTTTTTATTATTGTTGTTAATATATTTATCATTATTACTTTATTAAATATCACAACTATAATAATTATTCGTTTTTTACTTTTCAAATTATTAGTATCATTATTGATAATATGATATATATATTAAATATATATATATTATATATATATATATATATATATATATATATATATATATATATATATATATATATATATATATATATATATATATATATATATATATATACACATATATATATATATACACATATATATATATATATAATATATATAATATATTTGTATATTGAAATTAGTCTTAGATTCACCCCTCCCCCTCCCATACCTTCTTTACAAGCAGTTACCATAATAGTCACTTGTTCAAGGATAGAGAAATGTCGTAAAATGTTATATACCTTTGTAAATCACCTGGAAGTAATCTTCCCCTTAGTAAATTACTTAAGCGAAAGAACCTTGGATGCATACACGGGTTGAGAGAGAGACAGACAGACAGAGACAGACATAATGTCAGAAAAAGACTTAAGTTGAGGTATCGAAAGTCGTCTCTTGGATAACTACTTACTTGAGAGTAGAGGTCTCCCAGATGCACATTCACATTACTTATGTGCACCATTTTTCATTTACTTTTGTTGTGCCTAGCTTTGTCTAAACAATAAATGCTTTATTACTTATACAGCCACTTTAATTACTAAAAAGAAGGCATCTGGCCCGTCATTAGGATGCAGACCTTGGTACCACCCATTGTTCATTAAAATATCATCTGCCTCGGGCAGAGGCAGATGTGTATGAGCCTAAATAGGCCTTAAAGGTATGAACAATTCCATGCGTGTTTGTGAGTTCATGCAAAGTTCATTATCAAGCAATGCAAGCAAATTTTCGAGTAACGGAGAGGAAGAGATAGATCGATAGATAGACGGAGAGAGAGAGAGAGATTTTTAATTTCGCATAAGTGTCATTGTGAAGAACGCGAGATTGCTCAAAACCTGATATATTAAAATTGTTTTGGGGTTTCATTTGTTTATTTGATATTTTTTGGTAAAAGAACAGAGGAGAAACATGTATTTCTTTGATATCACGAAATAGTTTACACTAATTTGGAGGATAACTTTACTAGATGATGTTTTTTTGAAGTGATTTAAAGAGGTAATTTACTTTTAAGCGACACGACATTTATATCTCCTTATAAACATCTAAGTATCCTCTTCGTTCTTTCTTCGGGAAGAACCCGAAGAAATATTGTGATACAGCGAGAAACTCGGAGAAATATGGAAACTATCTCTCTCTCTCTCTCTCTCTCTCTCTCTCTCTCTCTCTCTCTCTCTCTCTCTCTCTCTCTCTCTCTCTCTCTCTCTCTCTCTCTCTCTCTCTCTCTCTCTCTCTCGTTCTCTCTTTCTTCCTCTCCCTCTCTCCCTCGCTCTCTCCCCCTCCTTCCCGCCCTCTTTCTCCCTCCCTCCCTCCCTCCCTGCCTTCCTGCCTCCCTGCCTCCCCCAGGGCCGCCAGGTCCCCACTACCATACACTCAGCCTACCGTAAATGGTGGGGACTATATCTGGGCAGCTCGTAAACCAGGGAGCGACGAGGCGTTTGTCCTTATTTAGCTAAATGATGAACTCTTGATGAATTCTGAGTGATGGCTTGTGTGACACGAGTGTTCATACAGGAGAGATACGTGATGTGTGTCGAGCCGCTATTTGCGCTGTAATATTTGCATATATTTGTGTATAAGCGACGGGGCGATTAGCATTTTCACTGGTTTAATAATATTTTGTTTACGTGTAGGTTTTCCCTGTTTGTTGATTTATTTTAGACACCCCTCATCTTCCTCTAGGCCCCATCACCACTCCTCTCCCTCTAGGCCCCATCACCACTCATCTACCTCTAGGCCCCATCACCACTCCTCTCCCTCTAGGCCCAATCACTCATCTCCCTCTAGGACCCATCCACCACTCCTCACCTCTAGGCCCATCACCACTCATCTACCTCTAGGCCCCATCACCACTCCTCTCCCTCTAGGCCCCCATCACCACTCCTCTACCTCTAGGCACCATCACCACTCATCTACCTCTAGGCCCCCATCACCACTCATCTTCCTCTAGGCCCCATCACCACTTCTCTCCTCTAGGCCCCATCACCACTACTCTACCTCTAGGCCCCATCACCACTCATCTACCTCTAGGCCCCATCACCACTCATCTTCCTCTAGGCCCCATCACCACTCCTCTCCCTCTAGGCCCCATCACCACTCCTCTACCTCTAGGCCCCATCACCACTCATCTACCTCTAGGCCCCATCACCACTCCTCTCCCTCTTGGCCCCATCACCACTCATCTACCTCTAGGCCCCATCACCACTCATCTACCTCTAGGCCCCATCACCACTCCTCTCCCTCTAGGCCCCATCACCACTCATCTACCTCTAGGCCCCATCACCACTCATCTACCTCTAGGCCCCATCACCACTCATCTACCTCTAGGCCCCATCACCACTCATCTACCTCTAGGCCCCATCACCACTCATCTACCTCTAGGCCCCATCACCACTCCTCTACCTCTAGGCCCCATCACCACTCATCTACCTCTAGGCCCCATCAACACTCATCTACCTCTAGGCCCCATCACCACTCCTCTCCCTCTAGGCCCATCACCACTCCTCTCCCTCTAGGCCCCATAACCACTCCTCTCCCTCTAGGCCCCATCAACACTCCTCTCCCTCTAGGCCCCATCACCACTCCTCTCCCTCTAGGCCCCATTACACTCTCTCCCTCTAGGCCCCATCACCACTCATCTACCTCTAGGCCCCATCACCACTCCTCTCCCTCTAGGCCCCATCACACACTCCTCTCCCCTCTAGGCCCCATCACCACTCCTCTCCCTCTAGGCCCCATAACCACTCCTCTCCCTCTAGGCCCCATCACCACTCCTCTCCCTCTAGGCCCCATCACCACTCCTCTCCCTCTAGGCCCCATAACCACTCCTCTCCCTCTAGGCCCCATCACCACTCATCTACCTCTAGGCCCCATCACCACTCCTCTCCCTCTAGGCCCCATCACCACTCCTCTCCCTCTAGGCCCCATCACCACTCCTCTCCCTCTAGGCCCCATAACCACTCATCTACCTCTAGGCCCCATCACCACTCCTCTCCCTCTAGGCCCCATCACCACTCCTCTCCCTCTAGGCCCCATAACCACTCCTCTCCCTCTAGGCCCCATCACCACTGTGTGTTGGAGGAAGGTTGACCAGCGTGTGACCATCCCGGAACAACGTCCCGTCACTCTGTATACAGTATACCTAGGTCATAAAAGTATTTATGTGTACGTCTGATACCATACTACTTGTGAAGGAGGAAATATATATGTTTATCTCTCAGATTGTTTGGTAATATGTTTATTGTTTGTGATGTGTGTCTATGTATGTATTAACACGATGTACTGAACGGGGTGAGAATAGCTTGAGCTACCTCATACATTGTGAGTATTTTACATCAATAAACTTATTTCAATTTCAATTTCCCGTCACTCTGTAAGCTTGGTGAGACTGGCCACAAGCGTCTGGCCTCCACTCACGTCCACAGACACACACACACACACACACACACACACACACACACAATTATTTGTAGATATAGATTTATATAAATTATATAATTATTTATTAATTAACATTTGGTTTTTCTTGGCCCCCCCCCCCATTAATGTGTTGAGAGTTGGCAGCCGGCGAGTGACGAGCATTGTCGCCTCAGGTTCGGTGGTGTTCGAGGTGGTGCGCGAGGTGTGGCCCGGGGAGCGGCTGGTGGCCCTGCTGCTGCCTGAGGTCGACGACGCCCTGCTGCTGCCCGCCCTCACCCTCCTGCGCTCCTCGCTCTACCGCCGCACCATCGACTCCATCATGGCCGAGGCGCCGCTCGACCTCTCCCGCTCCCTGCTGACGTCGCCGCCCGCGCCTGGACCGCACTGCGGCGCCGCGGGGAAGCGGAAGGCCGAGTCACCCTCGCCACATCGGTCGCCGTCGCCGCCAGCGACAACCTCACCGATCACGTCATTTCCCACGACATCCTCGTCGTCGTTTTTCCCACTGAGACAGACGGCCTTCGGGATCAACCTTCCGGATCCTGAACCATTAGACAGGCCATCTTTTTCTGTCAACCTGACGCCGACGACGACAGTGTCAGCAGCGTGCAGCAGCAGCAGCATGCCTCAAACAGTGCCTCGCAGCAGCAGGGAGGTGACAGCGCCGCTGGCCCCCGTCAAGCGGCGGGAGCGGACGATGCTGCCGTGCTCCGAGTGCGGCAAGGCCTTCGACCGGCCGTCGCTGCTGAAGAGGCACATGCGGACGCACACGGGAGAGAAGCCGCACGCGTGCGACGTGTGCGGGAAGGGGTTCTCGACGAGCTCGTCCCTCAACACCCACCGACGGATCCACAGCGGGGAGAAGCCCCACCAGTGTGGCGTGTGTGGCAAGCGCTTCACCGCCTCCTCCAACCTCTACTACCACAAGATGACCCACGTCAAGGAAAAGCCGCACAAGTGCTCGCTGTGCACGCGCTCCTTCCCGACCCCCGGCGACCTCCGCTCCCACATGTTCGTCCACAACGGCCAGTGGCCGCACAAGTGTTCCGTCTGCGGCAAGGGCTTCAGCAAGCTCACCAACCTCCGCAACCACGCCCTCCTGCACGCTGGTCAGTCTCTCGCTCCACCCGCCTCTCATACTGCCCTCTCTCTCTCATCCTAACTTTCAAGGACTCATACTAACGTTCCAAGGGTCCAAACTAACGATCCAGGTTCCATGCTAACGTTCCAGGGGTCCAAACTAACGATCCAGGTTCCATGCTAACGTTCCAGGGGTCCAAACTAACGTTCCAGGAGTCCAAATTAACGTTCCACGCTCCATCCACACGTTGCAGGTGTCCAAAGTAACGTTCTAGGCTCCATACTAACGTTCCAGGGGTCCAATCTAACGATCCAGGTTCCATCCTCACGTTCCAGGCTCCATTCTCACGTTCCAGGAGTCCAAACTAACGTTCCACGCTCCATCCTCACGTTCCAGGGGTCCAAAGTAACGTTCTAGGCTCCATACCCCTTGTTCCAGGGGTCCAAACTAACGTTCCAGGCTCCATACTAACGTTCTCACGTTCCAGGAGTCCAAATTAACGTTCCACGCTCCATCCACACGTTCCAGGGGTCCAAAGTAACGTTCTAGGCTCCATGCCCCTTGTTCCAGGGGTCCAAACTAACGTTCCAGGCTCCATACTAACGTTCCAGGCTCCATCCTCACGTTCCAGGGGTCCAAACTAACGTTCCAGGCTCCATATTAACGTTCCAGGCTCCATCCTCACGTTCCAGGAGTCCAAACTAACGTTCCAGGGGTCCAAACTAACGTTCCAGGCTCCATACTAACGTTCCAGGCTCTATCCTCACGTTCCAGGGTTCCATACTAACGTTCAGGTTCCATACTAACGTTCCAGGTTCCATACTAACGTTCCAGGTTCCATACTAACGTTCCAGGTTCCATACTAACGTTCCAGGTTCCATACTAACGTTCCAGGTTCCATACTAACGTTCCAGGTTCCATACTAACGTTCCAGGTTCCATACTAACGTTCCAGGCTCCATACTAACGTTCCAGGTTCCATACTAACGTTCCAGGCTCCATACTAACGTTCCAGGTTCCATACTAACGCTGCAGGTTCCATACTAACGCTCCAGGTTCCATACTAACGCTGCAGGTTCCATACTAACGTTCCAGGTCTGCCATAATACACCATAATGACATGTGTAAGTAAATGTTTGAAACCTCAACACATTATATGGCTTAGGAACAAAACAGTAACCTGTTGCCAGGACGGACGATCCTCGTGAGACCCTGTTACTCCTCCCCTTGTTAGTGCACTCCTTGTTACTTCCCTTATTGTTAGTGCACTCCTTGTTAGTGCACTCCTTGTTACTACCCTTAATCTTAGTGAACTCCTTGTTACTACCCTACCGCGGGGTAGGGTAGTAGTCCCCGGGGTAGGGTCCCGGGGACACTAAAAAGCCCCGAAATCATCTCAAGATAACCTCAAGATAACCCTTATTGTTAGTGCACTCTCTGTAGCATCCCCATGTTGTTGATGGTGCTACATAGTGTCCCCGCCTTGGTACCTTCTTGTGATAATTACTTAATTAACCCCCATTGTTAGTGCACTCAGGTTACTACCACTATTGATAGTGTGCACACTCTGTTACTACCCCTCGTTGTTAGTGCACTCATGTTAGTAACCCCCCATAGTTAACATACTCCTTGTTACTAATCCCTTCATTGTTGTCGCCCAATCACTTGGGCTGGAGGGTAGAGCGATGGTCTCGCTTCATACAGGTCGGCGTTCAATCCCTCCGACCGTCCAAGTGGTTGGGCACCATTCCTTCTTCCCCGTCCCATCCCAAATCCTTATATTGACCCCTTTCCCAGTGCTCTATAGTCGTAATTAATGACTTGGCACTTTCTCTTATTAGTTCCCTCCCCTTGGTCAATATTTATTCCCACATTGTCCAGCCCGTTCTCATGATTGGTCACAACGTACGAAAGACATAGTGCTAATCTTTCCACAAACGTATGAACCCAAGCCACCCACCTAACCTAACCAATCGGTGGGTGGATGGGGTAGAAAACGTGGATATATGTCAGCTGCGACTTTTCACAGTATGTTGTATGTTGTATGTTGGGGGACCACAACGTACAACATGAGACGGTCTCGGTGAGAGGACGGGCTGCATCATTATGACGCACTATTAACTAAACATATTGTTAACGCACTTGTCACTATAATGTACCACTGTTAGTGCACTCATTATTTATTCAATCACTGGCATGTATAAACGAGTGAACAAACCTTAATTTGTATATAAATTCCTCTGACAGAGCTGAAGAGAACTGAACGGCACCTGACGACCCTCCCGACGCCCTCGGCCTCCTCCAGTGGCTCCCTCGCGCCTGCAGCTGCCTCCACCAGCGGCTTCAACACTTCCCTGAAACCTGCAGCCGCATCCAGCCCTCCCACATGCTCTTCCACATCATCCAGTACCCTTTCCATCTCACATATCCCTCCCACTGCGTCTCCTTTACCTTCACCACCTTCATCACGGCTTTCCCGAACTTCGAGTCCCCTTCCTCCTTCTCCTGACACACCCGCTTCCTCTTATTCGTTATCTTTTTCCATGATCGTCAAAACCTCAGGTTCACCCGAGCGGCTCGAGGCTCCTGAGTCCCCAAGAAGCACGGGCGCTCCTTCAGCAACAGATACATCAGATAATCCTCCAGAACACCTCCCTATCATCACCACACCGTTACCAAACTCCAGAAGTATTGTACCCAAAAGTATTGTTTCGTCAGAGAAAGAACCTCAAAACAGTATTAAATCACTTGCCCAAACTGCTGAAGGTATTTCTACCTCGTCGCCTCCTTCGTCAGGTTCCTCGTCTTGTCCCTCTGCTTCCTCCTATTCCTCCTCTGTTATCTCCCATACGCACTCCTACCAAAAGTTTTCATTAGAGAATATTTTAAAGGTAACCGCACCTTCGATCCTGACAGCAAGAAGAGATCACAAATGTTCAACGATGGAGGACAGAAGGAGAGAGGAAGGAGCAAAGGAGGTACAAATTAGTCCTAATAATAGTGAAGTAGAGATAATAAGCGATAATCAAAGTAATGGAGAGAGAGAAGAGTGGGACGTCAAGCGGTAGTTCCTTAAGTTAGTTGTCGCTAGATCTCCAAGTCAGACAACCTTATGTAATATTATTTTGTGTTCTTGACTATAGACAATCTTCCTCATAAACAGCTTTACCTTCGTTTATATTTCTGAGCTTTAAATTAGAAAATAAAAGAACTTATACCGAAATGACTATTCGTGTAGAGAAATTTTCATCTGAAAGAAAACTATAGAATTGTTTGTACATAGATATTTAACAAAATAAAAAGTAGATGATTAGATATTGAGTCCTTGTTAGCGGAGTCGTCATGGTCGTGTGAGAGAAGTCCTTGCTTGGAGAGTCCTCATGGTCGTCTGAGAGGAGTCCTTGCTTGGAGAGTCCTCATGGTCGTCTGAGAGGAATCCTTGCTTGGAGAATCCTCATGGTCGTGTGAGAGAAGTCCTTGCTTGGAGAGTCCTCATGGTCGTCTGAGAGGAGTCCCTGCTTGGAGAGTCCTCATGGTCGTCTGAGAGGAGTCCTTGCTTGGAGAGTCCTCATGGTCGTCTGAGAGGAGTCCTTGCTTCGAGAGTCCTCATGGTCGTGTGAGAGGAGTCCTTGCACGAAGAGTCCTCTTGATCGTGTGACTGGAGTCCTTGCTTGGAGAGTCCTCATGGTCGTCTGAGAGGAGTCCTTGCTTGGAGAGTCCTCATGGTTGTGTGACTGGGGCTGGCGAGAGTCTTCAGAAGTGCTGAGTTACTCAAGTCACTGCGGTACTCTGAACCAAGTACTTGCTTACTTCATTTGCAGTAAGTTCTGTATTTTACAGAAACTTTCTGTTTACGTTTATTTATGATAAATCGAGGCTGGTCGTGCAATATAGTTGTAACAGAATGTATTTATTTTTACCTGTTTTATGTTCAATAAAATTTCAGACATAGTAGTGGATTTTCCTCTCACAAGTACAACATCCATCTGAGTAATTAACGCTTGTTCCTGTGTCTGTGAAACATGCATTCACGGTTAGATTATTCTCATCGACCTTCAAGGTATTTATAATGTCTAGGTTACTCTAAAAGAAATATATGGATATAATTTGAATGTCTCACAGGAATAGAACACGAATATAAAGGTCTGGTCATGAGATAGGCACTCACAGTTGTGTTGCTATTCACTTAAAGGGAATAGAAACCGTTTGGGACATCGGCTCCAGCAATCCCAACTAATCAAGAATATTTCTTGGTTAGTCGTGCTAAATACCTATTTGTTAGCCTTTTTTTTTCTTATAGTCACAAACACCTTTATTCATTGATCTCGAGAAAATGAACACAAATTTTCTGCTATTCATACTTTGGCTGTATAGTGGCATGAAATAGGCGTCCCTCACACAGCTTTAAAGGCTTTCCTCAAGCCCAACCCATTTTCAAAGCAGAGGAAAGGATGGGAGTGGGGGGAAGGGGAGCTGAGAGAGGGATGAGCAAGGAAGAAAGGATTGAGTGGGGCGAGAAGTGCGAGAGGAAGAGGGGATAGAGAAAGGTGGAGAGGTAAGGAAATGGGAAGAAAGAGGATAGGGAAAGAGAAAAGAGAGAGGAATTGGTTGGGAGGGAGCAGGGAGTGGCATAAAGAAGAGAGAGCCCTGGGCACAGCCGGGCATCTCCACTAGCCAGTATCTATGGGGAAGAATGTCTGTCTATTTGTTTTTCCAAGGTAAGATACCAGAGGTTTGAGGCTAGCCTCACCCAACTTTCCAGGGGGGAACGATCTGGGGTAGAGGACGGACCTAGGCTAGTCGGGGTCGGCCTAAGTTATATGATTTAAAAATATTAGCATTTATCGAGACCGCCCCCTCCCCCCCCCCCTTCCTTGTGATTTTCATGGAGTCAAGTGTGAAATATTTTATGTTTCCCCAAGAGTTTTAGGGTTTCATAATATATTTTCTGAGACCCATAGAGTTGTTTCAGTTCTTTTTAATAAATATTCTGAGGGAAGGGGGAGATGGGGTAAGGGGAAAGTGGGGGGCTGGAAGAGGGAGGAGAAAGAAGGGGAGATGAAAGAGGGTACAAAAGAGAAGGGGAAAAGAGAGGGAAAGAATGAAAGAGGGAGGAAGAGACCCAAGTGCAGCCAGGTCTCTTCCTCGCTCTCTGTCTCGTCTCATATATATATAAATATATATATATATATATATATATATATATATATATATATATATTATATATATATTATATATATATATACATATATATATATATATATATATATGTCGTACCTAATAGCCAGAACGCACTTCTCAGCCTACTATTCAAGGCCCGATTTGCCTAATAAGCCAAGTTTTCATGAATTAATGTTTTTTCGTCTACCTAACCTACCTAACCTAACCTACCCTAGCTTTTTTTGGCTACCTAACCTAACCTTACCTATAAATATAGGTTAGGTTAGGTTAGGTAGGGTTGGTTAGGTTCGGTCATATATCTACGTTAATTTTAACTCCAATAAAAAAAATTGACCTCATACATAGAGAAAAGGGTTGCTTTATCATTTCATAAGAAAAAAATTATAGTATATATATTAATTCAGGAAAACTTGGCTTATTAGGCAAATCGGGCCTTGAATAGTAGGCTGAGAAGTGAGTTCTGGCTACTAGGTACGACATATATATATATATACATATACATATATATATATATATATATATATATATATATATATATATATATATATATATATATATATATATATATATATATATATATATATATATATTAGTACCTAATACCCAGAACTCACTACTTGGTCTAGTATGTAAGGCCGATTTGCCTAACAGGTAGAGTGACTTTCCTTATTTTTTTTAATTTCTTTCAAATTGGTTTGAGTTAATATTATTATATTATATTAGGAACATGAATTACTGACTTAATTATGTTAAATTAGGTTAGTTTAAGATAGCTTAGGTTTGGTCATATATCTACGTTAGTTTTAACTCATTTAAAAATAAATTAAATCATATATAATGTTATGGAAACCTTCAGTATTTCATAAAAAATATTTAGAAAAATATATTTCAGGAAAACTCGGCTTATTAGGCAAATCGGGCCTTGCATAGAAGACCAAGTAGTGCATTCTGGCTATTAGGTACAACGCATAATACATACATGAACACACATACACATACATATGTATGAGTATGATAAAACGATCATTGGTGCGGTGGTCACGGTACTGTGAACGTTTAGGGGTGATCCTGAACGGCAGGGGTTCGAATCCTGGCCGGGTCAAATAGAGTTCTTAGTGATCTATCACTTGCGCGTTCGTGCAGCTTTCTTTCACTGTACAAGGCAGTTTACATGTATGGTGAGTCCCACTGTTTCTAGTCTTTAAGAGCAAAAGTCTTGGCCAACTCATCGGTTCGATTATGCATTCGGAGACCAACATGGGAAGGAATTCACAGGAGACAAACTCTGACTCCAGCAAGCACAACAAAGTAAGTATACACATACACACACATACACAAGTGTCTGGTCAGGAAGTATACACTCACGGCCGTGACTTAGCACTAACAATACACTCCAAGGAGAACAAATCACTACAGCAACTCCACAACATAATTACAAATAACATCTGGCCACCAAAGTACCTGCTCGGCCTCGGCCACAACAGAGAAGGAATAATTTGACTTTATATATCATATAATAGTCAGCTAACACTCTGGCAACAATAATTATGCAAAGAAAATAAACAAGAAAAAACTATCTTAAAGAGAGGCGCAGCTGAAAATGAATTGCGCATTGGAACATCATATTAAAATCGCAGTATTTTTTTTTTACATATATATCACTCTTTAATGATAGTAGTAATGACAAAAATATAATTATTATGATTGATTACAGTCTCAAAGATTATGTTTATAACAGAGAATGACTGTGCCTCCGAGGTCAGGCGCCATAGGTTATTCTCTACTGAAAAGAGAGAGAAGGGGGGGGGGGGGGGCTCGCCTCCTTAGCCATGAAGCAGGATTGAATATTATGACAACCAATGAAGTCTGAAACGTGGGTTTGATTATCCACAGAGAGTTTAGTCTAGATTTTTTGGAGCTATTATCTACGATGACTCAACATCAGTAACCTTGAGTTGACGCTACTCCGGCCTGCTTATTTATATAATATATATATATATAATATATATATATATATATATATATATATATATATATATATATATATATATATATATATATATATATATATATATATATATATAAAGGGAGGGGGAGATAGACAGATCCGAGCAACGCCGGGACCCTCCTTGTCTGTCTAAAACAGAGAGGTCTGTCTAAAAGTCTGTCTGTTTGTCCAAGGTTTTAAACCAGACGATTGAAGCCTTCCTCACACTCCTGTGTGGGGGGTAAGGTACACATTACACACTGAAGGTATTCAGTTACTGCCACACAAAACAAATGTTCGGATGTCAGATTTGCTTTCTAGTCACCACCTTTAGGTAACAGTGTAGTGTTTGGTGAAAATTATTTCAGTGGTAGATGAATATGAGGGGAGTATGTGTGGGTGGATTTTCTTGTGTGGGTGAGGGATGTGGGTGGTATGTGTATTTTGTTGGAGACTGGGAGTGTTTATGGGGAGGGTGTGTGTGGGGGGAAGATGGGAAGGGTGTGTGGGAGGGAGATGGGTAGGGTGTGTGTGGGAGGGAGATGGGAAGGGTGTGTGTGGGAGGGAGATGGGAAGGGTGTGTGGGGGAAGGTGTATGTGTGTGGGAGGGAGATGGGAAGGGTGTGTGTGGGGGAGATGGGGAGGGTGTGGGGGGAAGGTGTATGTGTGGGGGGGGGAGATGGGGAGGGTGTGTGGGGAAGGTGTATGTGTGGGGGGGAGATGGGGAGGGTGTGTGTGTGGGGGCAGATGGGGAGGGTGTGTGTGTGGGGACAGATGGGAAGGGTGTATGTGTGGGGGGAGATGGGATGGATGTGTGTGTGGGAGAGACAGGGAGGGTATATTTGAGGGAGAGACAAAGAGGGTGTATGGGATGGTGAGAGGAAGGGTGTGTATTGGAGTCACTAGTGAGAGTGTGTGGAAGAGGGAGAGTGTAGGTGTGGAGACCAGTAAGAGTAGGTAGGAAGAGGACACAGGGCGGATCCGTCTTCCATCAGATAATTCCTCCAGAAATTTTGATATAGAAATATCAATTATTAAAGTCTAACATTCATTCAAGCAGTAAGCAAAGCAAGCTGGAGTCATCTGTGACCCTGAGAGGCCTCTGATTAACTGATGTTTTCTCCAAGATACGCTTGATGTGAGAACATATCCCAAACAGGAGTCAGGCCCGGGGTGAATGCTCGCTCACATGCTAAAGTGTTACCATGCCACAGCCTACAACCGTCCGAGCAACACAAGAGATGAGCTTAGAGCACACACTTGCCGCCGTGCATAACGGTACGACCACCGGCATTCCTCCGGCGTCAAAGGCTTTTCACAGTCATCTAGTACGTTCACGAGCCGGAGATAGAACGGGGAGGCAAGGTGGTGAATACTTAAAAGTTTTCTTGGGCATCCCTTATACAGTTTTTTCAGTCAATGCTGACTACTCTGCACGGGTGCACGGGTGCACGGGTGTACGGGTGCATGGGTGCACGGGGCCCCGCCTTAACGTGCATCACTGGGGAGTTCAACTTCACTCCAAGGACATCTACTTTATTTGGTGAATCCTCAGCGTGTTTAGCGCCAGAGTGCCGCCGCCCACACCTGGCGTGGACGACACCACATTGCCTGTTAAAAGTTATGATGGTAGCAGGCAATACCTTATTGATTCGTCTTAATATGTGCGTGCAGACTGCAGTTACCGTAAGCAGATGTTACGATATCGGAGCACAGCCTTCTGTCGCAAACACCTGCATCAGTTGTTTGGCCTTTACACTACTGGCGCCGGGTGTCTGGCCTC